CCAGGTATGGCATGGACATGCCAGACATTAAAAAAGAATTCATTAAAAATTGGCTAACGCTCTTTCCTTCCATAATGCTTATCTTTAGCACTTAATTCTAAGTATGGTAGAGTCTTTACATTCTTCTTCTGAGCTGAAAAGGACTTGGCTCTGGCAGAGGCCTTGGCATTGTTATGAACGTGGGATAGATGAAGTCAAACACGGCACAGAGGGGATAGTCACCAGGCCAGGCAGGTGTAGACACTCTCCAACTTTTTAAATCCTCCCCATACCCAACCTCAAATCACCTGGGAATTTGATAGGGCTAAGAGGGAGCACTGGTGATCCCACACAATTTGTAAGTGCAGGGCAGTGGAAAAAGGATGCTATTTACCTCACTTTATATGTGAGGTAACTAAGTGTAGGGGGCAGGACTGGGCACAGTGCAGGTTTTCTGATCCCATGCAGATCGGGTAAAGGAGGAGTCAGAGTCCTCAGTAGTTTTGCAGGTTTTTATTTGGGGTTCACCAGGCATATGGCAGGCAGGGGTGCTGGCTGGGGGGCTGGGAGGCTGGCAGGCCTCCCAGCCCCCAGCAAGTCTTCACTCTATCTGGGCTCTCTAGCGTTCGTTCTGCTGCTTCTCGGCTTCTCTTTCGGTTCTGCTGCTGCTGGCTGGGGCTGCTAGCGTCCCCCCCGTGACGCCGCCCTTAAAAGCACAGTCTTAGCTCAGCTGAATCCCATCTACCTATGCCCACACCCTACTCCAGGTGCCCGCCATCAGGCATGCATTCAGGACAAGGATCCATCATCTATCCTGATGGCGGAAGGGCAGAAAAGCCTGATATTTTCTTTACCCTACAGTCCACCCCCTCAGGGTTTTCTGCCATACAGTCTATACATACATATACAATTTTCTAAGCAAACAAACAATGCAGCCATGGCCCACAAAAGCAAATACATCAAATAACAAAATACAACAGAACAAAATACAACAGAACACAAATAAGTCCAGGCAGGGCACCAACCAAGTGCAAAAGACAATTATTGGTACCAGCAGATGAGCCACCAAATCTGCTGCCGAAGGCACTGCTCATACGAGGGAGGGGAAATCACACACGGCATCTGCTATAACACACCAGGAGCCGTCAGGCTTCCTGGCCTTCTCTGGCTGTAGTCTCGGCTACAAGGCACACACAGCATCCACCCCCAGGATGCACTAGCTCTGGGATTGGCAATTTTATTCTGTTGGGGGTAATCACCAACCCTCAGGGTTTCTGTCTGCAGTCACTCCAACACTTGGCCTTCATAGCCACCCATGCGACTCACAGACCCCTGCACTCAGGCCAACCCACTGCACAATCACATGGGCCGAGGATCCAAACTCTGCATTCAGCTTGGGCTCCACCCCAAGCCACGTTCCCCACCCGTCCCCCAAGGACAGGTTCCTCAGCTCCTCACCCTCACTCAAGAATGAGCAGGGCATCACCCACAGGTGATTTTACGAGACTCACAGTTCTTCAGCATACCCAGGCTGCTTAGGGCTTCTCAACTTAGCATCAGCACCAGCTTTTGCTGCCTTAGTTGGCTTTTCTCCTCCACCTGGCTGCTGGGCATGCACAGGCTGCTTTTGGCCATCAAGGCCCACTGGCCACCCCCAGATTCTCAAAAAAAAAAAAAAAAAAAAAACCATAACCTGCCAAGGTCCTCCGCCTTCTGGCGGGATTGTCAGTCCAAGTTTATCAATCCATGTCCACTGGCCTCTCCCTGCGTCAGCAGCGGCCTGCTGCCTCAGGGTCATTGGCTGGTCCTTTCCGGTGTCGTTGCCTGGTCCTCTCGGGCGTCTCCTCCATGCGAGGTCTCGTCCCACAGCTCCGGACCGTATCCACCTTCTGTGCCGCCATGGCACCTCCAGCGTCATCACAGGCAAACGGTCTGTTCTCCTTAGTCCCTCCAGGTCTTCGGAGGGCTCCAATACCCGTCTGCATGGATCCTGCCGACTTACGCCAATTGTAAGGGCAGGAACGGGCACAGTGCAGGTTTTCTGATCCCATGCAGACCGGGTAAAGGAGGAGTCAGAGTCCTCAGTAGTTTTGCAGGTTTTTTATTTGGGGTTCACCAGGCATATGGCAGGCAGGGGTGCTGGCTGGGGGGCTGGGAGGCTGGCAGGCCTCCCAGCCCCCAGCAAGTCTTCACTCTATCTGGGCTCTCTAGCGTTCGTTCTGCTGCTTCTCGGCTTCTCTTTCGGTTCTGCTGCTGCTGGCTGGGGCTGCTAGCTTCCCCCCCGTGACGCCGCCCTTAAAAGCACAGTCTTAGCTCAGCTGAATCCCATCTACCTATGCCCACACCCTACTCCAGGTGCCCGCCATCAGGCATGCATTCAGGACAAGGATCCATCATCTATCCTGATGGCGGAAGGGCAGAAAAGCCTGATATTTTCTTTACCCTACACTAAGATAAGTCCCATAACCCAAAAAATTCCAGGACTCAGCCCCTATCCAGGGGAGAGACCCTAACTTTACACCACGAAGTACATCATACTCTTTAATCAAAGTTTATTCCTGCTATTTTGATTTGCTCTAATTTTGAGGTGCTGCCTATCAACGGGGAATTCCTCACAATCGCCAGTGTCCCAACGGAATGGCTGGGAGCTTTTTATGAGCTTTTTGTTATAGACATGGAATATAAATAATCATACCAGCTTATGGGTTCATTACATACCTTCAGCAAATATTAATTGTGCTTGTTCATATACTCGGTGGAATTTCCTATCATAGTTAATACTAGAATCCATGGGTTCTGGATGAATTGCTGCAGCCATATGAGTGGCACAATATTGAGTGGACATAGTCCAGATCGGTATCTACAGCTTCCAGGGAGTTAAATGAAACATCTTGAGGTCATCATATCTCAGGGTGGAGTTGTTTATTTACTTATCCATGTACATAGGCTTTTAAGACTTGACTATCATTTACACAAAAATGGATACCAATAAAGTCGCTTAAGAGAGAATCAACAAATCAATCTCAGTAAGGCACCACCTGAAAATGTAATGAGTTTATAGTTTCTAAGATGAGAAAGGGATAAGATTTTTCCACATTAATAATAAAGACTTGGCTATTTAACCATGTAGCATGCTCCCTGTCAAACTGGGTACTAGTGTTACGAATATAAAATGAAATTATTCTTAGTTTTTGACAGCTCCTCCTTAACCCTCAGCAGAGTGTTTTTCAAAGGGTCATTTTTGGGCCCTTTCAGGTGGATGGGAATTAATGTTTACATGATCAGACTATTTGCTTTTGGGTCTGGCATGCACCAAAACTTCACAGATACAGTGGTTTAGAGATGAGTTCACTGATATTTCTTCTTCATGTATGAGTGATGAAAGTATTTCTGGCAGTTAAGATAAGGAAAAGTGGTGTCCGGAGCGTTTGGTGCTTCAGCAGGTGTGTCGAACTGCCAACTGGGGCAAGGCCTCTGCCATAGGAGAAACAAATACTAGTTCATGTGGGTTCAGAACAGTGATACTTTTTGATGTAGGTAAAACTGAGAAGGTAAGGGGGAAGGTGTGCATGTGTGTGTGTGTGTGTGATTGTGTGTGTGTGTGTCTGTGTATCCTTTTGCTTGGGGATGCTTAGTGCCTAGTAAGTACTAAAAAGTGCTTTCCTCCCAAGGTAATGCTTTGGCACAACTGGCACCAGGAACAAAACTGGAGAAGCAGAAAGAATGAAATGAAAATTCACTGATAAAGCATCATTGCATAATAGGCGTGTAAATTTCAATAGCTCCAATTCATTTTCATGGAAATTAGTTTTATCTGTGAAAACCCAGTCCAGAGACCCCCCCCCACTATAATACGTCACCCTCAGCATGACAAGTGTCCTTGATTCCTTTACTCACGGCCACTCAAAGGAAAAATTCATCAATCCACATTGATAGCTGTACAAATATGTGTCAGGATCACATGACTGAGGGAGAGAAAACGCAGATGAACACAGGAAGAAAGGGCATTTCCTCAGCACCTCTCCTAGGGCCACTGGAGGACCTGGTCACTGCAAAACTGACATTTGGTGGGTTTCATGATCAAAATTATTAGAAGGTTTTCGCCTAATTGGGATTGACACTTATGTTCAGGAATGGTTATGTTTCTATGCTTAGATGTATCACTGCTGCTTAAAATCTTTGTTTTTAAATGCTCTGAGCTTATTTTAGTGGAAAGTTTTTAAAGTAAGTACAATTTAAACCTTGAGTTTTCAACCCAGTAGGAAACCTTACACTCCTCGCTCATTTCTTTTCGTGGAAGGATTTGCTTTAAGGCATGAGGTATATCAACAGGATGTTTGAATCTCTGCATCTGTTAGTGGTGTTTTATCCTACTGAAAGCACTCTGACTATCTGCAATCTCATTTGGATGAGTATATACACATTTTCTCTACACTACCAGAACTAGTCACCACATTTTTATAATCACTGATGAATCAGCGCAATGGAAAGTGTCTAAACGTCATCTAATGTGACATTTCAGTTAGTTGTTTATGCTGTTTCTTTCCCAAGTAAACACTTGTCTTTCCCCATGCTGACTCATGACAAATTACTCCTTTAAGTCGAGTCCCTGGTTCCCTCAAGTGATCAGGTCCACATCAAAAGGTAAGGAAACATGTAGGACCCCAACTATGAAACACAGAAGCAGCTAATTCTGACTGCAGTGAAGCTGAGCACACACAACTTGAAGAAGCATGAGGAAGTGTACATCAACCATGCATGAAAACCTTACGCCACCAGCTCTGGGCCTTGTATTTATCGTTCGTCTTTGTGGCATTTTCTTCTACAGTAAGACGAGGATGAACCCATGCTGAAAACCTTTCGAAAGCGTTTTGAAAAGACAGCTTTTCATGTGGCACTTCAAAACAAGTTGGCACAAAATGCAAAGTGACATCTGGTCTCTGGTTGGCGGAGGCGCCATTACCTGTCGCTCCTCGGGGGGCTCTGGGCTCCCACGGAGCAGAAGCGAGCGGCCTCGGGGCTCAGGGCCCGGGCTGGGTCTTCAGCGCCGCGTCCTCGTAGTGCCCGGGCCCGGGCGCGGCGCTGGCCTCCAGCGGCAGGCCCTGTTGCTGGTAGCCATAGTTGACGTTGCCGCACGGGAAGTGACGCAGCCGGAAGAGAGGCACTTCCTTCATGGTGGCCGTCAGCGAGGACGGCTCGAGGAGCAGCGAGGCCCCCGGAAGTCTGCCGCTGGCCACGCCGGGGGGCACAGTACAGCTCCCCTCGCGTCCCGGGTTTCCCCTCTCGAGCTGCTCCTTCTTCTCTGGAGGATTGTTCTTTTTGGCGGGTTTCTCCGTAAACCAGGAGCCATAAGTTGGGTTCCATAGGCTGGTGGGTTTGTTTCTGGATCCCTGGACTTTGTGCAACTCCGGCGGGAGGCTGGACTGCGAGAAAGCCATATTCACGTGCCCACCCTGCAAGGCCGGCGCCCGGGCCACGCGGGCCGAGGCCTCCCCCGCCGCTGCTCTCTTCAGGGCTTTGCCTGAGGAAGTGGGGGGCCCCGGGGCCGGGGCTGGGGCCGCAGGCTCGGGCCCTTCCTCCCTCTTGGCCTGTGGAGGCGAGACTAGGAGAGGAGGGACCCCCTCGGGGTCTTTGGGCCTCATGGGCACCTTCTCTTCCTCTTCCACGAGCGGGCCGTACTCGATGGGCAGGGCTGTGTTGATCACGTCCGGATCCTACAGGGGGGAGAAATAAACTGATTAAAACTTTGGATCACAGACCAAACATGTTGGCTGTGGAAGATACCTTAGTGGTGATCTGCTCTGAACTGATTTTACAGATGAGGAAACCAATGTCTACCGGGACTGTGTTCATTTACGGGGACTGGAAAATAAATGAACGGGAAATCACTCTTATCCTGGAACTACTTAGAGGATAAACACCATCACAGAAGTGTGTGCAGGGTACTGGGGAGCGCCGAAATGCCTGGAGCCGGAGAGACTTTGGAGGGACAACCTTTGGGCAAATCTTATATACTGATGAATTTTTAAAAATTCATCTAAATGCATTTAAAAAATTAGTCCAATACTTCCAAATGAAAAGTCGGTATGTTTAACTTGGCGTGTGTATGTGTGCAGGGGTGGGGAGAAGGAGAGGGACACATTGTTTAGACGGTTTCTTTATTTTTCTCTCCTAGCTGCCTCCTATTTGTAAAATCACATTTGGATGGGTCACACTTGACGATGACTTTTTTCTGTGTTCCAGCGTGTGTCATTAGGCATGCAGACATCACAATGCAGTATTCTTTCAGGTAGCCTGGATATGATGAGACCTTTCGTGAAACCCAGGAAATACTGACATGCTATGAGAAAACCCTTTATAAATCCATCTTTGAGCTAGATTAATTTCTTACAGCAATAGGTACAGAAAGGCAGAAACAGTTGCCAGACGTTTGAAGACACTTTGTGGACAAAAAACTGAAATCTGGGGAGAAGTAGTTCATTCGTATTTAATGCAAATGAGAAAAATCATTTCTGTTGAATTTCACAGAGAAGTACCTTGGTTTAGTATTCATCAGTAGAATGCTCTACAGCAACCAATAACTGCCTTCTGAGTCTCTCTGTTTTATTCACTTCCTTCCCTGTTAATTACAAATTTCTATGGCCAGTCATTTAAACTACGCTTGTAGAGAGCTACCTGCTTTTAAGAGGGATATATATTTGGAGAAAATTACTCTAAAGTATATACACTTAAGTGGGTGTGTTTCGTTCATATTACAACATAGTAACTTAGCTGCCACTGAACATCAAGTTCTCTAAAAGAACCCCAATACTTGATAAGCGAAGTCCATCTAAGATAAATGTCACTTCACCTGTTTCTGAGCCGGAAGGACCTGGGCGGATGGAATGGAAGCTGTGCTTTGAAGATGCATATGTCTATCTGTTGTCACAAATAAGACGAGGGAATTTAGAGAGGTGGTGGTTTATTGTCTGACTTTTAAAATGTTCTCTAGAATTAGACATCCTGGCAGCATGGATGCAACGGGAAAGAGCAGATACAGTGGCGAGGAGATAACAGACAGAGCCAAGTCCTGCGGGGGCAGCAGCTGGTGACTCAGGGCTTAGCCTGGAAGGGGGAAGGTGGGAGAATGGGTGCAGATGCGGGCTGGGAACAATCGGAGGAATCTCACTGATTCACTCTCTTCACTCTCCAGGAAGTCGGAGGCTTAGTCATCTGCTGAAAATGGGGGAAGAGAAGGCAAATCTAGAGTCATGGCTGAAGGAAGTGGGAAAGGGATCTTTCTAGGACCAGCGGGATCACTGGGAAACTGTGGCTTGGGGGACCCTCCGAGCCTCAACTCCTCATCTGGAAAATGGGGATATTTTAGATATGTATCTCTACAAGAAGAAAATGAAGTGCAGCTGCTATACCAAAGCTACTGTTGATGTTGACATTTCTCCAGACTTCTTTGACTTTTTCTTCCCTTCTTCCCTCTACCCTTATATCCTCGGACATATAATTTAACAATCACATACTGTTAATCACTTCACAATTATCTACTGTTTTATTTCTCTGGCCAGGCTATAAACCATATGAGAGCAGGCATTTTCCATATTTCTCTGAAGTTCTAATTTTGTGTAATAAAACATTAGATACTCAGTAGGGATTTAGTTAACACTTGAGAATTGAATCGATTCCCTAGCATGATCGAGTGTTTGGCGCTGTGTCATGTACCGGTGAAGAAAGTGGCAGTTACGAGTGTTTATTTACAAAATGTCCAGAGTCAGATACAACTTTACAGATAATTAGCATTCATCTTCATGAGCATGGCTCTTATTCTCTGGCTGGTTTAGCTTTCATTTCATATATTGGTATTTTCCATTTTAAAGACTTTTTTAAAAAAAGATTTTTATTTATGCCTAATAGAACGGGGTGCAGGCCAGAGGAGCGGGGTGGGGGGTAAGAGGATTCACTAGAGACAGAGTGGGGAACAGAACAGGCAGACTGACTGAAATACGCTGCTGAGGGGAGCAGCGGACCAGTCAGGAGAGGTCTGCTGCGCCACGTGGGTAGCTCCCTGGCGGGGTAGGGATCGAACTTGTGCTGCAGTGGCTGCGGATAGTTTCATAGGTTGCGTCTTAACCCCTTGCACCACCGGGGAGGCCCTTAAAGACTTTTCTATATAAATTCTGGTCAAGGAGCACAAACGTTTATACCTGTGTGCAGTATTCAATCCTCTCCAAAATGATGGCAAAGTTGGGTCTGTCTTCAGGCTGATGTTGCCAGCACTGGGTCATTATCCGGTATCTGAAAGAATAAGCAAGTTCATTAAAATCAGGAGAAACAAAATGAAAAAATATATTTTTCAGTGTTTTTCTAAATGAGACTGGGGCGGCACTGTCTTCCCGGGTGGCAACTAACTCATCAGGTCCCATGTGGTTGGCCTGTGCTGCCCTCTGCTGATGGGCCAATGGATTGTTCTGGGTGTGAAGATCCAGAAGCTCCCGCGTACAGCCCGCCAGGGGTTTACATTAAATATGGCTCCTCTCTTTTCATTCTGGATGGAAAGTCACCTTTGAGGCAGAATATTCTAATTATATTTCCCATATGCCTTCCTTGTGGGAGAAAGGTGAGGGATGACAGAGGGCTGCAGAAAACGCAGGAAATGGACATATTTAAAGGAGGCTCAAGACATATGGCATATGGGGGGAGCCTGGGACACAAACTCCCAGGCTCTAGGAGTTTGTGCCTGGTGCGTTTGCAGCCTCCAGCCAGCCAGTGGATTCCTCTTTTGGCATGACACCGCTGCTCTGGAGGGGCTGGAGACTAACCCATGTCATTGACATCAGAGACACATTGCAATCTGGAGGCTTAGTAAGTAAAGTCGACCGTTTGTCCCTACATCTTCAAATGAAAAAGCGTATGCGGCTGCAGATATTTTTTGAAAAGGAAAACAGTGCTTAGTAACTGGTAAAACATTTCTAAAAGACTCATACACAGGCCCAGGACAGTTCTTCGGTGGGTCCATCCGGCCTCCGCTGGTGACGAACTCCAGGACCTCCTGGTTGCTCTTGCTCGGGTACGGCATGTATCCCAGCGAGAAGATTTCCCACAGCAGCACTCCGAAAGACCTGCGCACAGGACAGAAGGTGTGGGTATGGACAGACTGACACATAGACACATGGCATACACACAGGCAGATGCACAGACACACAAACACAGACACATGGACAGAAACAGACTCACACACAGACATGCAAACACATGCACATACACACAGACACAAAAACATACACAGACACAGATGTAAAATTTTAATTTTTTAAAATTGCACATTCTCACAGTAGAGAACTCTTATTATGGAGAATAAAAGAAAACAGCCACATGTAGTGCTCAATAAAAAGATAACCATTATTAGTCAGCTAGTTCACTTTTTTTGTCCAGTTACGTTTCTATGTTCGTTTTTTTTTTTTAAATTTATTTATTTATTTATTCAAGCACTGGCTACAGTCAGAAGCGCGGGAGGGTGAGAGAATTCACCAGAGCCAGAGCGGAGAGCAGAACAGGCAGACTGATGAAATACACTGCTGAGGGGAGCAGCGGGCGGCAGGAGAGGTCTGCACGCCATGTGGGACCCTCACCCGGTGGCCGGGGATCGAACCGGCGCTGCAGAGGCTGCGGACAGCTTCGCAACCCAGCGCTCAACCGCTGCGCCACCAGGGGAGGCCCCCGGGTTGTTTTTTTTTTTACAAAATATAATTGCAATTATATTTAATATGCAATTTTGAACCTTCTTTTTTTCATATTCCATTATGGCATAAGCATTTTCCATACTAAGAAAGCATTTTATAAATGTAATTTAAAATGGCTGTAAAATGTTGTTTTACTATAGTAAACAACTATACCTTATCATTTCTATATTGAGTAGTTGTACTATACCTTATCATTTCTATATTGTTTTCTGTTTTTAAAATATTTAAAATACTTAAAATATTTAAAATACTTAAAATATTTAAAATATTTAAAATACAAAGATGAACATCTTTGTGCATTTCTTCTCCCATTCATCAGCACCCAGTAAGTTTATTAAGAAAAAAGAAAAAGGAAGCAAGTCACCTGCATACACATATTGGCAGTCTTGGAAGACAAGACCTTGGGTATTTTTTGAAATCAGGGCAATTTCCTTATGATAAATTCCTTGAATTTGGGATGAGGTGAATCTAGTAAAATTCAGGACAATTCTGAAAGAATTTCTTGAAAAAGACAATGTGAACACTGAAAATTCTCAACATGTATGGTTCATCTGACTTCCACCCGTGTCACTCCGGGCAACAGTGAGCATCATGCAAGAAATTAGCAGACATCGCTCCAACTTCAAGTGTTCACATTAACAGTGGGAACTTGGGTTGATATTAAGGTAAAAGAAGGTAGAATATTTTAAGCTATGTTTAGTGGTTAAATCGTTAACATGATCAATACTTCATTTTTTTCCTCCTGTTCATATTTTTGTTCATTTTTATCCACACTTTGGTATCTGTTAATTTTCGTTTTAATTTGTAGACATATTTTATAAATCAGAGACATTAGCCTTTTATCAAAATCTAAATACTTCTATCAGTTGCTTTCAAATTCTACTTTTTAGAATACCAAAGACTTTTTGCTAGTCAAATTTATTTATTTTAGAGATTTATTTATTCATGCATACAAGAACCGGGGTACAGGCCAGATGTGTGTGAGGGTGAGAGGACTCACCTAAGACAGAGTGGGGAACAGATCAGGCAGACTGACTGAAACACACTGCTGAGGGGAGCAGTGGGCGAGACAGGAGAGGTCTGCCGTGCCATGTGGGTATCTCGCCAGCCAGTTGGGATTGAACCTGCGCTGCAGAGACTGCGGACAGCTTCACAGTGCTGCGCTCAACTGCCTGCGCCACCAGGGGAGGCCCCGGTAGTCAAATTTATTAAAAGATTTTGTTTGTGATTTACTCCATCTGTTTTATAAATTCTACAGCCTTCCCTTCAACAAAGATTAAATGAATATTTGCTACTTTATTCTAGCTATGTTTATTTTTTCCTCTCTTCTCTCAAATTCAGTTGGGATTTAGTTTGGTGTAGTGTGAGGTAAGAATCTAAATTGATTTGTATTTTGAAACACTCAAAATAACTTTCCCTTAATTGACCTGTGAATAAGAATGGGTCTGTTTCTGGGTTCCTTAATTGCCTATAACCTGTCCGAAAGAAGAATAACAAAGCACAAGCTTTGCATCAAAACATCCCAAACAAGTAAGAACAAATGTTTAAAAAATCCCGCCCTGTTTCTCTTGGTATTATATTTTCTGTGCCCAAAATTATAGCTAAGTGATTGCTGATTAAATTTTTATTTTAAAAATTTGAGTCAATGCAGATAATATCATCTGATTAAAAGGCTTTAAGATCATGAGTTATGCCCTTGAAAACTAAATTATATTTTTCTTTATTCATAACCCGAAGGTGGAAGATTGTCTCCAGGTGTGGGATCTTCCTTTCATGTGCCTTTCTCATTCAGGGGCTGAGTGTCACTGCTGCCATTTACAAATCAGCGTCCCTCCTGGACCCCACCCCCCACTTCATCCTGTGTTTTCCTGCCTCTGTAACCCTGCCCAGAACCTGAAGCTATGTAATGTCTTTGTGTTTTTAAGCGCTTAAATGAAGAAACAACCTAAACTTTAAAGAAGAAAAGTAATAGAATAGATACCTATGAATAGTAGTTAATATTTTGCTTTTTGTCAAGAAATATTGAAGAAATAAAATAGACACAGGTAAGAAAATGAGACACAGGTAAGCGCCTCCCTCCACCTGCCCCTGCTCCCTCCCTTCCCTTAGAAGAAAGGAAGGAAGTCTTTCTTTCCATGTCCACAATGTCTGAGAGCATAAAGAGGCTCTATTACAGACTTAATTTTGTGCAGTAAAATGATACATGAATGGTATCCTACCCCCTTTATTGTAATTTGATTTTTTTCCCCACTAAATGTTGTTTTGTCATAACTCTGTGTTGATGCATGTAGGTTTAGTGTATCCTTTGATGCTGCTGAAGGATTTCCCAGGAGAGAAGTAAATAGCAATTTGCTTTTCATCCTTCCCTGGAGAATAGTTGGGTTGTTTTTGCTTTTTTCTCTATGTAAACAATGAACATACTTATCCGAATTCCTCTGTGTTAGGTGCAGACTCGTAGAAGGACAGTTGATGGGTCACAGACCTTCTACGTGTTCAACACAACTACCTGATACTGAACTTGCCCCCTGGCTCTGGACAGGGGAGTGGGGGTGCTCTAACTTGGGAATTCCCAGGAGGGCCCCTGCCTGTCTGCTTTATTAGGCCTGAGGATTTGTATTTCAAACGTTTCCTTGTGTTGCTGATGCCTCTGATATAGGACCACACCCTGAGACTCACTGAGTTAGGGTGTGTGAGCTCAGTGCTTACAACAGTGAAAACTGGGCCTCCCTGGTGGTGCAGGCAGTTGAGAGCCACCCTGTGAAGCTGTCCGCAGCCTCTGCAGCACAGGTTCGATTCTGGCCAGCCGGCGAGAATCCCACATGGCGCGGCAGACCTCTCCTGTCTTGCCTTCTGCTCCCCTCAGCAGTGTATTTCGGTCATTCTGCGTGTTCTGTTCCTTGCTCTGTCTCCAGTGAATCCTTTCACCCTCCCGTGCATCTGGCCTGTACCCCGGTTCTTGTATAAAAATAAATAAATCTTAAAAAAAAAAAAAAAACAGTGAAAACCCTTGTTCACAGTACCCAGCAGGGGAAGAGAGGGGGCTCTGAGCCTCACGGTCCACAATCTAGGACTTCTCAAAACATGGATCGCAGAAACCATTCTGGGACTCTTGGGTGGAGTGAATCACCTGTGAATCACACTGTTTCTGGAACAAGATATCAACTTTCTCAGTCTCCTAAGTAAGGCACCACTTGTCCGTGAAATTTCCAGTTTCCAAAATTTTGTCATTGTTGTCTTCTTTGTCCTTTGGATTTTTATACACCTAAAAAGACTCCCTTCAGGGCTGTTTGTGTATATTTTGGGATGGGGTGGAGTGATGGTTTTAATCTGCCATTTAAAATAATGGGTTGCTCTGATAGTCAACACGAAAAACAGTTGGAAGTTCCTCGACAAGTTAAAAATAGAACTACCTTTGATCCAGCAATTTCACTTCTGGGTATTTAGCCAAAGGAAATAAAATCAAGTGTCTTAAAGATCCATCTGCACCTCCCCATGTCCACTGTGGCATTATTCACACCAGCTAACCAAGAGCCCACTTACAGATGGATGGATAAAGAAAATGATGTACATGCAATGAAATATTATTCCAGCGTCAAGGCAGGAACTCCTGCCACTTTTGACAACATGGATGAATCTGGAGGACATTAAACTAAGTAAAATAACCCAGACACAGGAAGATGAAGCCTTGTTTTATATAGAGAACCATAGCTGCGGAGAGTACAATGGCAATTGCAGGAGCTGGAGAGGTGGGTAGGAGAGAAGTTGGCCAAGGGGTACAAAGTTTCAGTTATCCAGGATGAATAAGTGCTGGAATTCTAACTTAGTGTTAGCTAGAGAATGGCTTTCCCCATCACTATCACCTGTAGCACTTTCGTGCTGAGGATTATTTCCTTTTTTCTGTTAAGGTAGAGCAATTCATTGACCGGTTTTCTAATTTCAACTCCATGTTGCATTCCTGGAATAAAACCGACTTCGTTGTTATGTAAGGAAAATCGTGGCTTTGGCTGTGTGGTCCGCCAGCCAGTGGCAACAGCCGCCCCTGGGGACTTGTTGGAGATGCAGCTTCTCAGCCTGACCCAGACCTGCTGACCCGTAAGAGCTCAGGGTGGGTCCAGCAATCAGTTAACAAGCCTTTCTGATGATTCTGAAGAACGCCAATGTTTGGGAACCCCCCCCCCATTACAGAGGTGTATTGATCCTTTTTTTTTCTTTCTTTCCCCCCCCCCGATTATTTATTTATTTATTTTCAACATTTATCATTTAAAAAAATTTTTAGACAATATTTGCTTCCCCTCAGCCCCTCAATTGAGTCCCCATAGAATTTCCTTCCCCAAGGCACCCGTGCACCATCACCTCAGTCCCCTGTGCTCCTCCCTCCCTCCCTCTGACCCCTCTCCCTCCTCCTCCCCTGCAGGATGTCTCTGATTTATAATTGTCCGTTTTTGCTTTGTTGTGTTTTGTACTGTTATTATTATTTTTACACTGATGTCTTATGTGGTTCCTCTATATTCTTGCTATAAGTGAAACCATCCGATATTTTTCTTTTTCCTTCTGGCTTATTTCACTGAGCATAATTCCTTCTACTCCAACCACGTTGCTGTGAATGGCATTAGTTTATCTTTTTTGACTGCTGAATAATATTCCATTGTGTATATATGCCACATCTTGATCCAGTCCTCTATCCCAGGCACAGGCCCCTTGATGCGTGTGGGTCCATCTGGCCCAATAGCACCACCTAACCGCCACAGAGACACCCAGAAGAGGGCAGCAGAGAGACTCACCATGTGTCTGTCTTAGAAGTAAAGATCCCTTCCATGAAGGCCTCTGGGGGCATCCATTTAACTGGCAGCATTGCACAGCCTCCCTTTCGGTAGTAGCTTGCTCTGTGGGGCAGAAGAGGAAAATCAAACTTGGTTCTAGGTGGGCATAGCTCGGACAGCAGCTCCTGGCAACTTGCGAAAGTGGCAACCACAAGGTCTGCCACTAGAGGACTGAAATGAAACCAGGGGTTCTTGTGGTTTAGAAGGTGGGTAGGGGCTCGCAGATCATGTAGTTAAAAGCTTTGGGGTGTGTGTGGGAAATAAAAGCTTTGGTGTCATTTAATAGGAGATGAAACTGCCCTCTGGAGTCATAAAAAAAGGCCCATGCAATGACTAAAATACCCACTTGTAGGTGGCCAGGTTTCTCTGTTGGTTTTGTTTATTATGTCACACAATAACATTACTCCAACCTTATCCACACTGCCTGTTCCCGATCATCCACACTAATGCAAGATCCAAAATGGGAGATCAGGGTGGTGCTTTATTCATTTTGGATCCTTTGTGGTGCTCATTCAGCATTTAGTTCACCAAATAATGTTGGCAGCTGGAGGGAGTTGTCTCCCAGGGCATATCCCAGCAGGACATCACAGGACTTGGGGGTGGGATGTAGGGAGTGGGGTGAATGTGTGTGTGTTAGGATGATTTATTAGTTTTTATAAGTGAATTGTATTAATGACATCATTGATAAAAAGCTAATAAATTAACTCAAACTTGAAGCCCACTCTCACCTTGTGTTCTGTGGGGGGTGTGCCAGAGGAGGCAGCTTCCCGCCAACTGCCTACATTAATTAATGACTTCAATAAACCTGTACAGAGTGTTTAGTATGTGTCAGGATTCTTCCATGTGCTGAGGGCATAAATAAGCTCTCAGCTCTCTCTTCCACGGATATGGCTTAACAGAAGGAACAGACACATCTACTCTCGTGGTACAGAACAGCACACACAGATGCTGTGGGTGTGCACGAAGCTCAGTGATACAACTGAAGAATGACTCATTCTACTTAAGTGGGGGTACGTTTTATAGGGGGGTGACGTAGCTGAGTGGCAAAGCAGCTCTCCCAGAAGACCCCTGCTGACATGTGAGGGAGTGGTCCTTGGGGTTCATAGGGAACAGTGGGGCTGTAGGTGCGTCGGGGACTGGCAGGGCCTGGTGTCAGGGGGCTTCCTGCACTGAGGATGGAGCGGAACTGCTGGGTCACCCAGGACTTGCCGCAACATTCTGCAATGTTTCTGCCTTAAACCATGGGCGCAATTCCAGGGTATTTGAGAAGGGAGAGGAAGGAGCACTGAGTGCCAGGAAGTGGAAGAAAGTAAAGTGGAGCATCTCAGGGTAATGTGGTGGAGACAGTGGTGGGCACGACCTAGAACATTACCAGGCTCCCCCGGATGCTACCGTGCAGGGGCAGGTGCCCTCCATGTTCTCACCCCATGGAGCCTGCTCGTATCCTTGACCCACACAGTGGAAGCTCAAGGTAGCCCTCGACCCTCCCTCTCACTATTGTAAATAAGCAGAAAAAGAAGCAGGAGGATGGAAGACAGAATGATAGAGGAAGTACCACAGAAGATTTTTTAATTAAAAATATTAAAATTTGTTTCATTGTGTCCCTGAAAGTAGGAGGTGGGGTGGGGTTGGGGGTGGGGAATGAAGCTGACTTAAGTAGAGATGGGTTTTCAGCTACACTCCCGTGTGTCCTGGTTGTCAGCAGAGAATGTGCTGGGCCCAGTGTCCTGCTCCTCTGTGGTGCTCTTGTCTGGGATGATGGAAGCTAAATCCATCTAGAAATCATGAGTAGTGAGGAGAAGAGTTAAATTGACGGTTCTTAGAAACTTTCCCCTTATCAAGTACCCAAATTATTCTGTGTCAGTAGAAGCTGGGATTAGCAGAAAGACAACCTAATTAAGAACCTGGTGTCGATGACTGCAGGCAGAGAGCCGAGAATTAGACTTCAGGCAAGGGCACTAATTAAGGTTTCCCACACCCTGAAAGGGAACTTAATGAAATAGCTGGCAAGATACCAGAGAAGATTCTGGGCCCGAGCAGCCACGTCCCATCACTTGAGAGGATGAGGCAGAGGAGAAGGCACTGGCGGGTGGTGGCAGCTGGCACTTACCTGTAGATGTCTCGGGCCATTCCAAAGTCTCCGATCTTGGCCACTCTTCCAGGGCCTGGACAGGTCAAGAGGCAGTTCCTGGCAGCAATATCCCTGGGAAGAAAAAAGATGAGAAAATACATTGCCTAATCTTATCCCTGGAAAGATAAATGTATAATATTCATCTAGGATTTTCACTTTGAATTTGAAGTTAAAATAGTTCCCTCCCCTGCTTCATATTTCTTTTACCACATTATATACTTCAGCAGGAAAGAAATAACTACCAATTCTAGGCCTCAAAAATAGCTATACCAACTCCAGGCCTTAAATGGCATAGACAAAAAACAGGGAAGTGGAAAAGGATTAGGGGAGATGATTGAAAATATTTAATGGGATAATAATAATGACAATAACTATAATAGAAGCTAGAATTGACTGGCCGTTTACTATGTACTAAGCAGTGTTCTAAGTCCTTCATATCTAATTCTTATAATAACCCCGTAAGATACAGGGTGCTATTATTATCTTCATTTTATTAAAAAAATTAAGGTAAAAGCAGAAAATAGACATAGAAAATGCCATTTAGCTTTGTACATTTTGCTGGTTGGTTTCTGCTGGTTGTTTGAAGGAATCTTCTGAACAGCATGACGTCTAAGACATCAAATTCAAATAGGCCAGGTATTTCTCAAATATTTCTAATTTTCTCTCCTTTTTCTTTTTTACATCTTAAAAAGACAGGTTTATTAGGAAAAGGAGAAAGGAGAAAAGGAAGCACCTGCATAGACACAAGTGTGCAGAGAACTGAGAACTGCTGCTGTTTTTCAAAGGGAAAGTTTTGTTAAAAGAGACGCCTGCATAGACCCAGGTGGGCAGGCTTGGGACAAGAGCTGTCTCCATTTTCTTTTGAAATAAGTCATTATGGTTCTCACATCCATGATTTTATCTAAAGCTGTTGCTAAACTGTATGCATCATAGCTACATGGATAAAGAAATCACTTCTTTCAAGTTATAAAATAATCTTGTCTTTGTTATTATACTCTGGGTGCCCTTTTTTCCTGTAGCATGTCTGTAAGGCATGATGAGAGGCATCAACTTAAGTCCCAGAGGCATCAACTTAAGTCACTGATGGTTTTTCTGTTCTTGACATGCATGTGGGAATGAAGGATGTGGTCAGAAGTCTGGAATGGGTCTTTAATAACATTAAAGTCTTGGACAGCAAAAAACTCAGGAAAAACAAAACAATAACAAAAGTACTGAGGGTGCACAGGTGGTGTCTGGTGGTGTCTTAAAAATTTAGAAACTGTTTTCATGAAGTTCCTGATGTGTGATTGAGAAGGACATGGAAAGTAACTAACTACAGAGTGTCAAAAAAAAAAAAAAAAAGTCAGGATCTGGGTTGGAGATCACAGTTTAGGATACAGAAGAATGGGCTGAGCTGGGAGAGGGTTGTTGTTAATACCACTGATCTGATCCAGAAGGCTTAGGCTATACGATAAGAAGCCCTGATAAAACTATGACTCATAAATGCACGACATCAAATAGAAGAAAAATCGTGTGCTATATAGCCATCACTTCTCAAGAGAAATAGAGTGAACTAGACGAGGAAAAGAACAATTATTTATGGTTCCAGAAAGGTTTTTATGCTGATACACATGGGGTGGTTACTTACAAAAAGGTGATCTTGAATTTAATAGCAAGTGAGTAATGGAATATCATAGAAGACACCAAGAATGGGTAGAATGACAGAAAGTTCTTGAAAATACAACAATCATGTCCAAAAGAATCAAATCTAATGGAAAAATGGGGGCATGTGGACCTGGTGTGGGAGTTCTCTCTGAGCTCAGGTGTATATGGATGGAAATTGTGAACTTTAAGGCAGATACATGGTGGAGGAGAGAGAGATTTCGATGTAATACTGTTGTGGGAATGTGCCCCAGACCCCTTTGCCAGCTAGAAGATGTAGATGATGCTGTCACAGTACTAATCACCCCAGAAGAGAGGTTTTGATTCCCAATTTCACTAGCAGTCTCACTTTGCTTATAAAGCGGATTATACTTAACTTTTGACCCTTTCATTTCTCAAAAAAGACAAAAAAGCAAAAAAATTTACTCTGGGATCTAATTCTGACCTTGAGTAACAATTTAGTGATAGGGAAGTGATAGGGAGCTTGAGCGCATTGATAATAACAGAGCACTGGATATAGTCAAAACACATCACGACTCTAGGAAAGCAGATTTCAAAATAGCAGAGAAAGATGGGTAGGATCCCTCAGCCAGAGATTCTGCATACCTGGAGCCTAATGTGGGATGAGATGAAAAGGCAGAACAGTCTCTGTGAGAATTAAAGGGAGCCACCGAAAGTCCCTAGGGAGACCGACTGCACAGGACAAAAGATGGAGAGGAGCTTTCATCAGGGACAGATTCCAAAAGGGGCATCACCCCCATTATGTCTGAGCAACAGGAAAGCCCAGTGCTGACACTTATGGAATGTTCTGGATAAACAAAAAGGGCAAGAACAACAATGGCAGGACTGACCCTGGAGAGGAGGGTGTGGCTTTAGGTGAGAACATAAAGGACTGGCCCAGCTCCTTGGCTCCAGTTATTTCTCTCAAGCATAATCATCTGCAAGTTAGAAGGGTTTATAAACAAGAGGAAGAGCTGCAGACCCAAGTGATGAAGCGGTGGTAAAAGGGTGAGACAATGTGGACGAGTTCATTGCTTTGTTATAGGAAAGACCAAGCCATCGTAGGTGAGAGCATTTCTTGATCTTTAATTTCCCTATTTTTACCAGGGAAGAGGGCACAGCTTGCTGTCTGCTTACATGCATATCTATTTCTGAACTCATATAGCATCTCCCATTTTCTGCTTTGTACTTACATATTCTAATTACTCGGAACATGCTTTACACTCTAAAGACACAGGTTAATAAGATTGTCACTTCTCCTCCAGGTTGTTATTTGCTAAATTAGAAACAAATCATTAGAGTTTTGCAGAGTCTAACAAGCTGACTTTTCAGATTTCAAAATCAAGCTGTCCTCTGAGAAAGTGAGGGCCATCCACCAGGAAATACGTGTCATCTGTGGTGTCTGCAGCGTAACACGCAGCCTTGATGGCCACGTCCAAACAACACTGAAACACCAGGGCCACACAGAGCAGAGATGGGGCGCAGGAGTAAAGAATCATTATACTTCAGGGCATTTTAGAAAATAATTAATTTATTTACCAAACTTCTATTGTGTCCCCAGTATATGCTAGGGGTACAAAGATGCATAACACAGGGTCCTTATCTGCAGTCAAAGAGTCTCCTGTAGTCAAATGTGTGAAAATATGAACACCTTTAACTTAAGGAGCATGGGGGGAAATGTTAATGTGATACAGGGCTTGGACCAATACTGCAAGATTCAGGCAGGAGTCCCCAAGGACAGCAAGGACAGCTCATCTAGGGCTCCAGCACTGACATGGGTATTTTATGTAACCATTTTATAGATGGGGCAAATGAAGCCCCAATGAAGTAGTATCTCAAAGACAAAGGAGGCCGAATTGTGCAAACTACTTTGGAGGGAGAACTAATATTCTACTCTGGAGGGGGATCAGGCCCTTGAGACAGGTAGGGTGCTTACAGAGGCAAGGCCTTTAACTCACCGGTGGATGAAGTGATTCTCCTCTAAATACTGACAGCCACAGGCAATGTCCCGAGCCACGTGCAGAAGGTCCAGCATGGCCAGGGAGGAGGGCTGACTCTGCGGAGACAGAAGCAACCTGCTGACCAGAAGCTCTCAGGGAACAGCTGAAATAGTGGCTTCCAATGCACTCACGGAGACCCAGCATGGGCACACCGTTTCACCTGGGACTTGGGAAAACTGGAAACAACCTAAGCACCCGCCGACTGACAGGTGGAGGAAGAGCCTGGGGTGCACATGCACCCACTACTACTGAACTATAAAAAAGATGAGATTTTGCCATTTGCAATAACATGAATGGACCCAGAGGGAATTATACTTAGTGAAATAAGTCAGAGAATGACAGACATCGTATGATTTCACTCATACAGAGAAAACAAACAGATGGACTAAATAAAACAGAAATAAACTTTTGGTCTATAAGACCAATTAGTGGTTACCAGATGGGTAGGGAGAAGAGGGGTGGGGAAATTGGGAAAAGGGGGGGCCACGTATGGAGGAGCAATTTGGGCTTTTAGCAGCAAACTGAATGTGTAGATACACAAGCTGATTGTCAGTCATGAACACCTGAAACTGACATACTGCTCTAATGCAGCGTCACTCCAATTAACGTTGAAAGAGAAAGAAGAAAAGGAATCACCTGGCGGCTACAGGCAAAAGTGCCTGGGCCTCTACCCAGTCGGTGGATCCATGTGTGTGCTTCCCAGCTGCACAAGTGAGTATGAGGCACAGGCAGACAGAGCACCCCCAAACCTCTGGAAGCACCCCTGAGCTGCTGGAAGTGCCCCCAAGACCCCCGGAAGCCAGCAGGAGATGCATGTCCCTCTCCCTTTCTATCTGATCATTCTTCAACCCAGTCCTCATCCATATTGAACTCCCCCAACTTACAAACAAGCTTGTGAGGAAGCTGCAGGGGATAATGTTTTAAAAATCTTCTATTTAAATGACTAAAATATTTTAAAATTGGTTTTCTTCCAGAAGACTCTGATCTTAAGTAAACTGAAAAATAAAAGTTTTTGGAAAATGCTGGGTGTTTCCTGAAGAGTGATCACAAACTGTTCTGTAGCGTCTCCTCCCTGCAGAAGCAGCCGACGCCCCCACCTTGGGGGTACAGCTGAGCTAGAACTGACTGGCCACCAGCTGGGGGGTTTGTCTGCCACCAGTCAGGACCTCCCTGGGGCTCCTTGGGCAATAGCGAAGGTCTGAGGGAGGCGAGGAGTCCTGCTTCACATCTGAGGAGACACCTGAGGAGGGGTAGAGTCTGTGCCCCGGGAGCCCCGGATAGTGCCTTTCACGATGTCACAGAGTAAGTCCCAGTACCTGGTCTTGTCTGAGGCAACCTCCTGTGTGATCAGTAGGAAAGAGAGGCCCTCTCCACAGGGCCGATGGGAAGGCTGCTGGCTAAGAGAGGCTGACTTACTCCAGGTCACACAGCTGAAGGGTGGAGCCCCAGCTACTCTGGGCGGGGCTTTGAGGACCTGGGTGGGGGATGAGGCCTTGTAGGAATGAAGCCTAAGCTCGGAAGCACACATGTGGACACAGGCGCTGCCCCAGGGAATGCAGAGCCCGGCACACAGGCGCAGGGAGCAGAGCGGGCCTTGTCCCTCTGGTCCCTCTGGCTCCTCCAAGCCAGTGTTCTCATCTGTGAAGTTTGGGAGGTGTTATCGGCCTCACTGGGGTGTTGTGAGGACCCACATGAGGCGGCACAGATGGATGCTTCCGAAAGCGCCTGTAGTTACTGGCGGGCTACGGCGTGGAGGCCTGTGGAGGCTCTCAGGGGTCGTCCCTGAGTTTGGTTTCCCCAGAAGTTCTGGGCACTGTGAGAGACAGTCCCCATTTCTTGAGGAAAAGAAAAGTAATATATTTTGAGGGAAATATTCCTCCATCTTGCTACAGTATTAGAAATATATATATTTTTTCTCTCTTCGGGAAAAGACTTTCTGTTCCAGCCAGGAGAGGCCTCGCCCTAGCCCCTACCGCCTCTCCGTGTGCTAACCCCCACCATTCAGGGTTCCAGGAGTGCTGATGTCGCAAATGCCCCTTAAGCCTGCAGCACAGCAGGGACTAAATCTTCCCAGGCATTAACCCATGGGCCAGGCTTATCTGGATGCCCTGCCTCTGGCTGCTCAGAGCAAATTAACTGCTCCACTCATCAGTCTGCAAAGCAGCAGATAGTTGGCACCCAGCAGGGGTGGGGTGGGGTATGTGTGTGTGTGTGTGTGTGTGTTTAAGTTGTGGTACGACCCACCAGTGTGCCTGATGCCATCTGTACCCATCCCGGGCAAAGAAAGAGCTGGACTCGAGCTTGTGCCCCACCATATGCCATCAGGTGTGGGCTCTTCCTTGGGCAACCAGATACTCTTCAGGAGGTGCTGCTCATGGACACACCTTGTCCAATACTCAGAATCCTGTCCAATATTTCCCAAAAGGGCTTGTGGGATGGACTCAATCACACAGGTGGCACCAAGCCTGGGTCAGCAGGTGTGTTATGGCAGCGGTGATCCATCTTGGCTGACCACTGATGTGCTCCGAACATCAGGAAGGGGCCCTGCCTTGTGTGGCTGGGAAATCTGTTCCGTCAGGATTTCTCTGGGCAGGAAACTGCATGCCCCAGGTGCTGGTGTCCTTCCAGGGACTGTTTGGACCAATTTCCTCCTTCTACAGATGAATCAACAGGCACATGGAAGTGGAATGGTGACTTAGGCCACAGCTCAGAGGGGCTATTCAAGGGATTATATATTTATATATAAATATACTGAAAGTTTTTGTCATACACACACACACACACACACATACACTCACACAGTAATGGTGATATCGATCCCTTCCTTAAGTAGCTATAGATTTAGAGAGAAGACTCACAGGACATGGGGTGGCACCTGTGTCCCTAAGTGAAAAGCCGAAGAGGAACCTACTTCTGCAGGCTGCATATAAGGGTGAGAGGGAAGCAGGAGAGGCAGAGGCAAAGACCGCAGACGGACAACCCAGAACATAAAAGCAAGAGATGAGAAGCTGACAATGCTGGGGCCCTCAGACTTTTGGGCTCCTGGTGTGGCCAACTTTCCACTGGAACCAAACTCCCCTTCGAGCATTCCGGGGCCAGCACCAGTATTGCACAACCAGGGCCGACGGTTTACATCTGCCCTTTACTCCAAGTCAGAGGTTCTCCCCGTACACTGGCACCTCTAGGGCCCAAGGAGCCACCTGTGTCTCTAGAGCCACCGCCTGGGGGCACAGACCTTTCTGAGGGTTTAGCAGTATTGTCCTTATTGACCTCCATTTTTCATGAAGATTCTAGCTTCTTGAAAGCTTTTGTCATTATTGACTGAATAAACGGATCCAAACAGATAGTTATTAGTCTAAATCTGGCATAAATTAAACCCTCAATAAATATTTGTTGAATAAAGATAAGATCTGCAAGAAATTTTTGCTATTTAAAAGGAATCTGCCCCTCTGGAAGCATGGGGGCCCTAACCTCCCAGGGAAGCTGCTGCCAGAAGCTCATCTGCATGGGTTCACTCTGGGGGCGACAAGTCAAATCATCCTCAGGGAAGGTGTCTCAGGAAGCACCAGTGCACCGGGGGTGGGGTGAGCAGGATGATGGGGTGCTACAAAGACCCGGGCCTGGTCGGCAGGGAGTGCCACACAAAGAGTGAGGGCAAGGGTTAAAAAAGCCACATGTTGGCTTTTTCACAGGGAATCAGCTGGTGTGGTACTGGGCATCCCTGGGCCGTGCCTGTCCTTAGAGGTCAGACCCGCCTGCAGGCTTCTGCTGTGAGCCTCTCAGAGAGGCCCTGGGCTGGGAAGCTGCAGGTGAGATCCCTGATCTGTCTCTCCTTGCTGGTGCTTTGTTCTTATTTATTTATTTATTTTATTATTACTCCAAGGCCCTTGCCAAGTGATGAGTCGAGATCCTCTTTACGAGGGGCTGTCTCCTTCCACACACAATACTTTCTTCTGCTCAAGCTTCCAGAATATCCAGCAAGGAAACCAGAGCTGTGCCTCTTCCCTAAGTGTGATGAATGTGGCCCCCACTTGACCTCTCCCAGAAGCACAGTGAGACTCTCAGGGTATGAGGACCAAGGCTCTGCCTTCATGGGTGGTGCCCAGACCCTGGCAGAGATGCCCAGCTGCTGGCAGTGTCGATCTCAACGGCCTGGTCCCATCTTGGCTCTCCACGGCTTCCCAAAGAGGCCCATTGGGACAAACAGCAGGGAAGGTTGGCCTGAAGCAGCACTCACGAGTCCACAGTCCTAAGCCCAGACTTTCCACCTCCTGTGTGGCCTTGCCAGGTCACTTGCCCTCTCTGAGTCACAGCTTTCTTGTCTGTAGAGTGGGGGTGAGATCGGCCTCATCTACTTCAGACAGTGGTTTTGAGAAATGCCAAAATGATGAGAAGGAGGATAATAATGCTGATGAAATTATTATGAGGTGGGGGCTAATCTTCCTGCCCTGCACCCTCATATCCTCCTGCCAGCTGGGCTCAGGCATACACACCCATCTTTTTAGGAGTTGGGCAGGATTCTTAGCTGGAGAGACAGGCTGCTGAGGGCCTGAAGGAGCAGTATGGCGCCTCGTAAGGCTACACATTCTAAACCAAGCCTGGCCCAGGGCAGAGGTCGGAGAAGGTATGATCTCTCAAGGTTGTAGCTCTGCTTTGTCCCCGAGAGTGGGGCGCTCAGCCCTGAGCTGCCTTTCACAGGGTCCTCTGCTTCTCTGAGTGTGGGGAGGATGTGAGTCTTCCCTGTAGCCCTCACTGTCTGGTAGTGTCTCAAGGAAGCCAGGTCCTAATCAGGGGTCTGCTTCACCCCAGTTCCCGGGAGCAGGGTCTCCGGGTCAGCCAGCAGGCCACGCTTTATAACACGGAGCCATCTCCCAGATGTCCCAGTCAGCCCTTGGACTTCACACTGCAGTACTGAGGTCAGAGACAGCCTGCTCTTGGCCCCATGGCTGTCTACCAGCCAAGCAGGGCCTTCCTGGGCCCGTCTAGGATTCTTCACTCCCCTCCCTCTCCCAGTCCAGCCCCTCCAGAAACATTTCAGCACATCATTTGACAGGAAAACAAGGTCAGGATGTTCCCATGGGAGAGATGAAGACAGTGGGGCTCAGAACGAGTGGAGGCAGAGTGATCTGCCCCAGGCCAGCTGGTGGAGTGGGTGACATGGCTGGCATGAAAATCGCTGCCTGTGCTTGTCCCTAGTTTGGTTTTCCAGAATCAGGAGGCCAGGGGCCTCCTCTGGTGGTGCAGCAGTTGAGCGCTGGGCTGCGAAGCGCCCGCAGCCTCTGCAGCGCGGGTTCCATCCCTGGCCCCCAGAGAGGGTCCCACATGGTGCAACAGACCTCTCCTGCCATACCCGCTGCTCCCCTCAGCAGTGTACTTTGTCAGTCTGCCTGTTCTGTTCCCCGCTCTGGCTCTGGTGAATTCTCTCACCCTCCCACGCTTCTGACTATACCCAGTGCATGTATAAATAAATGAAGAAATCTTTAAAAAAAAAAAAAAAAAGAATCAGAAGGCCAGCAGAGTGGATCCATAGCACAGGCCAGCTCAGGCTCCATAGCACAGCCTTGGCCACGCTTCCCGGGGCCAATGCCCACCTTCTGCCCACTGTCCCTCAGCCACTCCCCCAGGCCCAACCACGAGAGCTGACTCCTGTGGGCCCGCTGAGAGGTCCCAGCCTGCCCATTCCTGCTCCTTCCTTCCCGCTCTCCTTCCTTGGCACAACACGGGGCAGGGCTGGTTCTCACTCACCGGGCGAGGGCGGGTTTCCCGGAGGAAGGACTTGAGGTCTCCTCCGGCCATGAGCTCCAGGAGGATAAATCGAGGCAGGGCCTGCAGACTCACCCCAATACAGCGCACGATGTTCTGGTGGTTGAATTTGCTGCAGAGCAGAGAGGAGTAACCACGTGTAACTGAGTCTGGGAAAATCTTAAGTGGGAAAAGTAGGAAACAAAGTGATGTTTCCAGCAGCCACATCTCTCAGCATCAGAGTCCTTGGTTGGAGGCTGGAGGGTGCTGCATGGACACTCAGTGACAAAGTGGGGTGGGGGGACAGGAGAGGATTGAGTGTCTTTCTCGGATTAGTGCTTGGAATTGCTCATTAGGATTCATGTTTGAGTTCTCCAGGGGAGGCCTCAGGCAGAAGCTGGAGAGACTGCTTCCATGAGGGAGCTGCCAGGTGGCTGTGGGCGCAGGGGAGTGGGGTTGTGGGGCATGCGGATCTCCATGGGGACCCTGAGATTGGATTTTCTTGTTCATGGAATCCTATTAGGACACAGGGGACAGTGGGAACAGGGACCTCCACACATGCAGAAGTGAAAGGTGGGCGACTGGATGTGGAACTATAATGGTGGTTAGTCACTGCCAGGTGGTGGGATGGAGAGAGCTGGGTCTCCAAGCATGTAATCCGATGCTTTCCAAGTGTGTTCGATAATCATAGATTGTAAGTATAGTCAGAGAATAAATTACTTTTCCAGTAAGATGCTCAGCCCGTTGTGTGTCCTCCTGTGGCTCCAGACACCCCAGTTCCTCACACACTGCACTGGCCTCCTTGCCCTGCCACTTCCAGCCAGAGGAGACCCCAGGCCTCCCCAACTTGTCAGGATGTTCCAAGCGCCCCATACAACCCACGAGTCAGACCCAATCTCGAGGTTGGATGTCTGCATCCTCCTTCAGATGACCTGCTTTAGAAGCCCCGGGCCCCGAGGTTCCCAGTTGGGGACCTGCACACAAGCAGAAGGGTGCAAGCCAGTTGGGTGGACCAGGGTGGGGGACCTTCCATCATGTAGGGGATCATTTCCTTTATACGACCATGAGAAACTGGCATTGGTGAAGGACCTGGTGGAAGAGGGCCCTGGAGGGGCGCTTATATCTTCTACTGTCAAAGACTAGTTTGCTTGGTTTCTACAGGGAGAAAGAGAAGAACGAGGGGGTGACAGTTGGGCTGTAGGTTGCAGGCACAGAGCTATCAACTGGGTTATCAAACCACAGACATTTTTTTTCTGAGACAGCATCTGGGGCTGTTCCACTCTAGTAACATGTGTTAAGAATTTGGGGGAGTCCCTACTGGAGAGGAAGGGGCTGCTGGAGGGCACTATTTTCCTCGTAAATGTCTCCATGTTCCCTACGTCTGTGTGTGTGTGTGTGTGGGGGGGGGCGGGAACCCTGTGTGGCTTTACCTGATGATCAGGGCCTCCATGAGGAAATCCAGCTCATCCTGTTCGGAACACACCTCTGGCAGAGTCTGCGCATAGAAGGGGAGGGTGGGAAGTAGAAGACTATGAGCAGCCAAGGCCGCAGCTGAGAGCTCTGCCTGTAGACACCGCGCGCCAAGGTCAGACCCCAGAGGGGGTGGCCTCTTACCTTTACAGCCACTTGCAGGGGGCTCGGGTCATTGGGCATTCCAGACACCTGACCTTCGTACACCTCCCCAAACGCGCCGTGGCCCAGGCCCCTGTGCGGAGGAGACGGCAAGATGAGCCAAGGCCACATTTAGATGCGCACGAGAGGTCGGGGGTCACGCACACACTCAGGGCAACACCTCCAACCTGGCATTGTTACTGACCCTGGCCCTACTGGCCACCAGACACTCAAGGCAATGGTTGGCTATTGCTTCAATGAATACGGAGTCTCTGACAGAGTGGTGAGTAAGACCCTGGCCCTGCTGGGGGAGGCTCACGCTCCCTGTGGAGGGACAGACCTGCCAGATAGTCTGTGGAGGTTGGTCAGCAAATGACGGATGAATGAGCAGGGGTTCAGGGAGCTCACAGGAGGCACCTGGCTCCACCAGGAGGAGGGAAGGGCTAGAAATGCTGGCAGGGGGCACTTAAATGGATTTTGAGGACCTGGTTTCTCCCATCTGGTCCTCCTCTCATTATACAACCCACGAATGGTTGGGGTGTTAAGATAAATGACAATACCACCCCAACTGGCCCTGAACAGTGAACCTTCTTTCTCTAGGAGGACTGGGGGTACCCTGAGGGGTGGCTGTGCTGGTCTGTGTCTAGAGGAATCCTTGGTGCTGGATCACACTTATCACTGCATGTCCCACCCAGAGGATAGCACCGGGCATTCACCGAAGGAGGCTGATATTCTTCCGGGGTACTTCCTTCAGGTCGCTGATGGAGGAGGTCTTGCCCGCAAAGCAGTAGTTGGGGTTGTAGTCGGTCATGATGGTGGAGGTACGGAGTTTGCTTAGTTTATACTCCGGGCTCTGCAACTCCATCTGCATGGCTTGCAGCTCCTGGTGCTTCCGCCGGTAAACTGCAGACAGTTGGAGATCAGGTGCAACTCAGCCTTTATTAGGCTGCCCGGTCCTCAAAGTCCAGCAGAGGCCCCCTCCTCCAGGAAGGCTTCCTGGACCTACATCTCCTCCTCTGAACCCTTCCATCAAACTTAGCAATGCCAACAAAATGATGATAGGCATGGAAGTACACTTTTAATCAAGAGACCACAGCTGAGCTGGAGAATGGAGGGCAGGAGTTGCAACTTAAGCCCTAATCCCCCCACACCCAGAGTGACACCTCATCCTCCATGACGCAGTTCCATTTTACCAGATCTGCCTTCCCTGGCCCCCTTGGGAAGCCCCAGGGCTCTGGCACACTCACCAATCATGATGCCGGAGAAAGCCAGGACGAGGGCGGCCACGAGGGCAGAGGTCACGACAGAGAGGATGAGGGAGAGTGGCAGGTGGGGCTCCAGGGTGGGTGACACTGGAAGACAGGTGGGTGACATGGGGCACTGGGGACCACGCTAATTCTCCTTAGGCCTCGAGTCAGAAAAACCCTCCCTGCCAGGACGAAGGCCACTGCTGCTCCCGGTCCCTGCAGACCTTGCCCGCCTTCCTCTTCAGAGGACCTGGGGCACGAGGCAGGTCCGCTCTGGTTTTACTGCTTTCAACAGTAGCTTTTGGTGGCGGAAGCACGTAACAGGGACAGATACTAAATTCTGGACAGTGGTCCGAGCCAGCCACCGCACAGTGAGAGGACGCGGGGGACAGGTGGGCCAGCCGTGGCTGCAGGCGAGCTTCAGGGGCCTAATCCAGCTTCGGGGCTGCACTACTCCCGGGGCCAGAGAGCACGGGGCCCGCAGCGCGGCGGGAGGTGCCTCGGGCACACCCGCAGGCGGCGCTGAGGCATCGTGCCCGGGCTGGATGTGACACTTCAAAAGGGACCCTGAGCACCGGACACCGGCAGACGCGGGACAGCAGGATGGGGCGGGCACGGGCACTGCATCCACCCATGGAAATAAGCCGGGCGCAGCTGCAGGACAGGGCGGGAGCCCTGGCTCTGCTGGCCCAGGACGAGCTCAAGCGCTGAGCTTCCCAGCCCCGGCCCGCCCCCCTTACCAATGCAGGAGACGCCGTCCTCGGCCAGCACCGTCCCGTGGTCACAGAAGCAGATGACCTTGTGGCTCTCGGGGTCCATGTGGCACTCATCTACCTCACAGCGGCTGCAGTTTAGATAATGCTTAATGTTCACTTCCCCGTGGCCCTCCATCACTGGTGACAAGGAGGGAGGGTCAGCCTCGGGCTGCGCCTTCAGAGACCGCCCTGCACCCCATTCCCAGCCGCTGTGCTTTTATCTCCAGCTGGTCAGAGGGGGTCTGGTCCCTGTTCCTAGGCCTCACTGCCACTGGGAGCACCGCTGTGTCGGGACGTCCCTGGTGCCTCTGGTGAGCGGCGCTGGGCCAAGCCATGTGGGTGCACTTTGGTAGGTAGGTGGGGGGTCCACACACGCGACCCTTAGGCTGGTCAATACCCTGCTCTTTGTCCGTATCAAAGTACACATCCTGCCTCGCAGAGCACTTGGGGAGAGGAGCAGTAGGCGGACATGCCTGAGAGGGACCCATAATCGTGTCTTGTATCCTGGCCTCCTGCCAGTCGCCCCGAGGCTTAGCTGGGTGAAAGAACTGGCCCATGTCAGTTCTGCCACCTGGCAGAGGGGGGTACCTTTTAAAGCCGGGGTGTACAGGATGCCTAGAGGGCTGATGAAGGAAACCCCATCCTCCCCGTCCATCTCGGGATCATTGTTTGAGGCTGCATTGCCGCCTGTGGCAAAGCAAAGAAGAGTTTAACGCAGAGAGGTGGGTGCCCAAGTCTCAACACGCACACGCGTCCGCGGGGCGTGCAGCGGGGCGGTGAGGGCCTGGGGGCAGGGCGGTGGGGAGGGAAGGGAGGCTGAGGGCACAGGGGCTGCCCTTGGGGCTGGGCTCAGTAGATGCTGGGGTGGACCACTTTCCCCTCCAGGCCCAGGCCAGCTCCCACTGGTGTCTCCACCACCCTGAGGGGCCTTGGGAGGAAGCAGAGTGATAAGTTCTAGTCTGCCAGGCTGGTTAGCTCTTGGCACCTCTCTTAGGACTGGCCAGAGAAGTAGCACTGAACCCCCCAGTGCTGTCAGGTCAGGGTTGGGGCATGAGGGGGATTGGGCCCCTGTGCCCTTAGGCGCCTGTCCCTCCTTTCAGCTGGGGCTGGATTATCTTTGGGTTCCCCCCTTGGACTCCGCCCACCCACCCAGGGCTCGGAAAAGCAGCGCACTGGTTAACGCAAGCGTCTCACACACAGCGTAAAGCCAAACAGACAACATCACAGTGCATGCATGCGTTGTGTCCTAATCTGTGGGGACGGTGGAGCCGCCACCTCCCAGCCTCTCAGCTTCGCAAGGCTCTTTGGCTCTGCTCTGAAGCCCAGCAGAGAGCTGGGGCCAGCGGCCGGCTGCTCTGGAAGGGCTGGGCTTGGGCTGCCCACAGCTGCCCTCAGGAGTGAGGCCCATCAGCACAGAGTGGTGCCATTCTGGAAGCTGGTGGGCTGGGGCAGGCAGGGGAGGAGTCTGTGAGGCCAGAAGCCACCACCAGGCCCTGAGGGAGCTGGCTGGGTGAGGACACAGCCAGGCCTCCCGAAGGGAGGCTGCCTCCAAGGGTCTCATGCTCGTGTGTCCTTGGGGGTGGCTGAGAGCACAGTCTTGAGGGGGCATCAAAGCACCTTTATCATGGGCTTTGGGGGAGATCAAGAATCACGTGGGATCTTGATGCTTTCGCTACTGAAGCCTCGAGGAAGGATGCTGGCTCGAAAGCCAACACCCTGCCTCCGGCTGGCCCGGCTGGGAGAGAGGAAGGCGTGCATGAGGGGGCATCACAGTCCACACTTGGGGGGGCCAGGGGAGGGCAGGCGGGGACCAGGGACAGGACGGGAGGGAGGTGCCTAGGACTAAGAGGGGAGGGGAGTGACACCTTGAACACGAATCATCTTTACCTATATATCCTCCGCCTCCTCCACCGGAGGAGCACCCCCCTCCACCCCCTCCGAAACCCCCTCTTGTCTCCCACCCCCACTTCTTCATGGCCTGGGGGCAGGAATGTCCTCCGGTGGCACCCTCCAGCAAAGATTTTCCAGACCAGAGCAAGGAAGTGTTATCATTCCAGCCACCTCCTCCACCTGCGGGAAGAGATGGAGAAACCTAGGTGAGGGGCCGGCGTGGGTCAGCCGCTGCGCCTGGCCAAGCGGAGTGCTTTGAGGGGTGCTGGGTTAGTAGCATCTCCATCATGAAGCGGCTTGGTCATGTGGAGAACACGGATTCCTAGGAGCTCGCTGACTCCCCCAGCACAGGATCCTAAGTGCGGTCTGGACCCCTGCCCGACTGACTGTCTGGAAAGCACCCGGCCAGTCGGTCTGGCACGTGCTGGAGGCTGAGCCTGAGTAAGGGGCGCTGTACATACTGCTGGGGCCAGATCCTCACCGTGGACCTGACCACCGCTCCTCCTCCTCCTCTCTCCAGCCACCCCTGGGTTACAGAGAAAGCTTGAGGGGTCACCAACCTCGAATCTTAGAGTTGCCTTTTAACCCCCTCCATCTGATCGTCTGATTGTCAAGAAGAGAAAATACAAACAGGAACGGCAGCCTCAGGGGGGCAGAGAACGCACCTCCCCTCGCACGTCTGGGCCTGTCTCGGCGCGGCTGCCTCTTGCTGACCACGCCTGGGAGCCCAGCCTCGGGATTCGGGAAAGGTTTTCGAGTGAGGAGAGGCATGAGGCGTGCAGCACGGGCTGGCTCTGCCCAGGTCTGCTCCATCTGCTCACATCCAACTGCATTTTGGTAAAACCCGGAGTGGGTCGTGCTGCCGCGTGCGGCTGCCCCTGCAGCTCCCCGTCTGCTTTGCTCAATGGCCCCAGGTCAGCGAGGTGGCCGCTGGGTCCCCAGGGTGCTGCCTGCCCTTCCTCCCTGCACGGCGCCAATACCCAGAGCGCGGGCACCTCTAGTACCTGAGACTCAGGCCCTCGCGTGTGATGGCGCCCGGAGGAGGGCTGAGCTGATGCTCACACAGTCCCGGAGAATGTTCTGGGGGAGAAGGGGCTTGCGCTGCGTTACCTGCGGCTCCGGAATTGCCGTTCAGCCCTAGAACTGAGGAGTCATTCTCCAGCCTCTCTGGGTGGAACGTGTCTTTCTTGGCCCCGTAGGCCCTGCCGCCACCGCCGGCTGCGATGATCAGGGGCACTGGCACACCGTCCTTCATCTGCCCGGAGACAGTCAGAGGTGGAGACGCGGGCCTGGCCCCCGCCCTGGAGAGCCCCGAGCCCCGGGGTAGATGCTTAATGCGTCTGTTGCTGGGCGGTGGGGGTCCCCTTGGTGGTCCAAGGACTCTGACTCCTGTGTTACAACAACCCATCAGCTCCCCCGAAACCCATGCTCCCCAGTCAGAGAAGCGAAACCACTCTTCGGGGGCTCGCTCTCAGAGGCTGGTTGGAAGCAGGTCCTTTTGCTCGCCCCTCCCTTCGGGGATCACTGGCCCCACAACTTCAGGATGAAGCCCTCAGCATCACTGACCACGCGGGAGGCCCTAACAGGAGGCCTTCGCCTTTGGTTTCCTGTCTGGCTGCCATGGCACCTGAAGGGCTGAACACAGAGGGGGTCTCGGGAACTCTGGGGCAGGGGTGACAAACGTCTGCGTCCCGTGAAACTGGGCTGGCCGTTAGCAATGAGGCTGTCCCTTCTTGGACCAATAATCCTGTACCTCTCTGGGCCTCAGTTTTCTTATCTTTATATGGGGCTAAGAGCAGCTGAGGCGTGTTGTTCCCAGGTGGGGTGGGAACCCCACGCCAGGGGGCACAGAAGTCACGGGCACTGGCATGGCCCACCTTACCTTAAACACGTAGGTGGCTCCGCCCCCTCCTCCGCCCCCTCCTGCCCACTCGTGGACGCTTCTGTTTACGCGGATTTCTTCTTCTATCACGTTGTTCTCGCCAATGCAGACCTTCTGGATTAATCGGTTTGTCTGTAGAAACGAGAAAGCACCTCAGGTTTGTGCCCAGGGTTCTCTGTGGTTAAACAGAGGTCTGATGATCACCCAAACAGCGCGTAGTTGAGTCGAAGAGACAAAAAAAATAGACCGATACCTGTCGCCCTGGGCAGCACTGGAGAAGGCCCGTAGGCCACTTAGACAGAAAACGCAGAGGAAATAATTGAAGGAGGGAGTGCAAGCCTCTGCAGCCGGCTGGCACTCAGGGAGGACTGCCTATAGGAAGTGTATTTAGCTGGGTCTTAAAGGTTAGGGAGATTTTTAAACACCGATAATGGGAGAAAGTCAGAGCTTTTAAGGGGAGAAAGCAGCGTGAGCCCACAGAGGAGGTGAGTAGGGCATTTGGGAAAAAGACCACCTTAGGAGAGAGCCAGTCCAGGAGGGTTTGTTAGGATCCTTTGGACTCTGATGCATGACAAAGGTCCTAAGTGGTGAGACAGGTAGGGCCACAGGGAGTGTAAATGGGTCCTGGAGAGAGAATTAAATCGACCTTCAGCTTCTGCCCAGAGGCTCTGAACACAGCCTGTGGAGTTGCACTTCATTCTCTAGGCAGTGGGGAGCCAATGAGATGTTTTTGAGAAGCTGGAGTGTGAAGCCTCTCGGGAGAGGGCAAGGGTGAGGCCAGACTCTGTCATCCCAGCTCCTTTTCGGGGAAGGCCCGTCTCCACTTTGGACATCTCATTCTTTGCAGCTCGTGTCCCAATTCTTCCCTCCAGAAATCCCTGGCACAGCCCTAAATAAGGCTCGGTGCGTCTGCCAGGTGCGCCCTGGGATCAGACTCGGGTGGGAGACGCTGTGAGTGTAGGACGGGAGTGAAGACGCCGGGGTGCGGTCGAGGGTGTGGTGTCTTCTCAGGAGTGTCTTCCATGCCGTAGGGACTGAATAAATGGCTGCTGCTATTTTATTAAGATTCACTTCTGGGCCTGCACATAGTCCTGGTGAACCCAGGCATTCATTCGGAGTCCTTGGGGATGTGATGGAAACTGCTGTCACAGGATCCTGGATATCCTGGGCGAAGATGGTATAAGAAGAGCCGCCCTGCGTGTCGGCCACAGCAGCTGTGGCACTGCAAATCTCCACCTGACCTCGGAGGAAAATGACTTTTCATTCACTTCACAGAAAAGAAGGCCAGCGAAACTCCAGATTTCCAGTGGGCATGGCAATCCATCTTGAGCCACTCCCTCTGCTGAAGCACTCAGGGGTGCCAGCAGTGAATACTAGAAAATGTCCTGATAAATAGGCAAGATGCAATTTGTTTTATGGCATTTTGGATTCAATGATGGAAATAATTTGATAAATTTTAGAGTGGGTGTGGTGTGAGTAAAGGCTCTGAATCGCTGTTGTAGAGAGATGCCAGCTCTCTGCCCATGTGCATTGCAGGTCAGGCCAGGGATACCGCTGCTGGGGAGGGCAGGAGGTGCCTCTAGGTCTGAGCCAGGGCAGGGGATGAGAGGGGCTCTAAGCTGGGCAGAGCAGAGCACAAAATATAGGGTCCAGTCTGGTCTGTTCTCCACATTGCAGGCACATATGCAGATCACATCAGCCCCTACTCTGCCCAAAATCTTCTATGGCTTCATGAAGTCCTGATGGCCTCACCCAGTACCCATGACCCTGACCGCATCTTTCCCTGGCTCTCCCTCTTGCTCCCTCTGCTCACCCTGGCTTTTCTGGGAGCAACGGGCATGATCCTTCCTCAGGGGCTTGGTTTCCGCTCTGCTGGTTCAATCCCTCACTCCTTTTAGGACTTTGCTTGGTGACATTTTTTCTATAGCTTTCCCTTGACCACCTTATTTAATATTTCGACCTGCCCCTAATCCCTGGCACATGTCCTTCCCTTCCCCTACTTGGATTCACCCGAACACATTCACTTTGGGATGTCCTGATCCACTTACGCCCACCAGTTATTGCCTGGCCTTCTTCCATCGCCATGAACATAACCTCCTTGACAGCAAAGACCTTTCTTGCGTTTATAAATATAGCCCAAGTTCCTAGAACAGTGCTGGCACCTAGTAGGTACTCAAGAAGTAGTTATTATGGGATACATTTGAGTGAAAGGGGAGCTGTCTGGGTATGGCTGCCTCCTCACAGTATTTGCTTTGTGAATGATGAGCAGTGGTGGGATTTAATAAGCCAGCCAGTGGTTTTGCTCCTCTGGGGATATTTGGAAATGTCTGCATGATTTTTGACAGTCATCACAGGGGGTGCTACTGGCATCTGGTGGCTAGCCAATGTCACAGGGCAGTCCCCCTCCACAGAGAATCATGTGCCCCCAGATGTCAGCAGTGCTGCTGTTGGGAAAACAGATGAGGCTTGCAAGGAACCGGAGAAGTGGGGCTGAGGGATGTGTGTGTGGTTTCCAGCACCAGGAGCCCATCCGAGGCTCAGGCGTGGCTGGTTCAACAGATTTGCAGCTGAACCAGCGAAGCTGCCAAATCCCATAGTTTAATTCTTAAAGTCAACTCCATTTTTCTAGGGGATTCTCTTGAGATACCATTTTCCTGCCTAGGGTGGACTGGAGGTTGATATCCAGCTCTTTCTTCCTCCCCATTGACACCTGAAGGGTGGAGGGGAGAAGAAAGCGGAAAACCACCTATAAGCCCATGTTATGCCCTGCCCTGCCAGCAGAGGGAGCTACCCTCTGTCCCCAGCTGCGAATGTGCTTCCACGGAAACAATCCCTGTGAATCCAATTTGAGAGCCGGTAGGTTGATTAAGAGCATGATAAAGTGCAGCAATCCAGAGGAACAAGCAGATTACAATTAAATTAAAAAGAAAAAAAGATACAGTCCTGTGAAAAGACATAACTGATTACAATCCAATCAAGTAAAAGTCCCTTGCAGAAGTCAATGCAATCTTTCTGCTTAGATGAAAGAATTACATTAGCCCTCAATAAATTCCTGTGAAAATTACAGCAGCCTGTAATTTAATGACTTAATATATTATATCAGGTTGGAAAGTCCTGATTATAGTTGCTAAATAAAAGGTGGAGTCCAGACATTTCTCACATACAGGTTTGCACCTGCTAAGGTTACTCTGTTGCACTGTGTTAACCCATAAAGGTGGGTGTTAAGATGGGGATGGAGGGGGAAGGTTATACTTTGCTTCCACCCCAGGATCTTTTTGGAACCCTGAATTCATTTTGTGGAACTGAACTTCATTCTTGACAGCTCTTGTACCCATGTCTGTTCTCCACGGCTACTTGATTAAGTTCCTGCCAGAGAGTTGGATTCTGGGCACTGGAACCCAGCTCCCTACCCCAGCTTGTTAGAAGCTGTGCTTCAGGTGAGGGGGGAACCTGAGGTTGGGAAGGGGGGACATGCCCTCAGGGTACTGAGTTCCCACAAGGACCACCAGCACTGCCAGGTTCCTGCCTCCTTCCAACACAGGCAAGAGGCAAGCAGCTGGGTGCGAAAGGCATGCGTGGCTGCTGCTTATTACCCTCCTGATTCTCCTGGCAGTTACAGGCCTCCACTGGCTTTCTTACTCCCCCTTTTTTGACAGCTGGACTCTCCAGTGGGGTCAGAACCAGAATGACAGGCTGTCTTGGGGCTGCAGAAGATCATCTCACTTGTCAAGGGATAAACAGTAAGTGGGAAAAAGAAAAAGGCCACAGAAAGTGAGACCTGCAAGCACAGGACAGAGCAAAAACAGGAGCCCAGAGGCCCTACTCTGTGCTAAGCTTATCCGCTTTGGGAAAGTCCCTTCATCTGTGTGGCCCCCCGTTATCTCATCTATGATAATGGGGGGGTGGGCTACATGGTTGTTCAGCTCTGACTATGCTTAGAAACAACTTTAAAAAATTTTAATCACAGGGCCTATCTGGTGGCACAGTGGGTTGAGCACAGTGCTGTGAAGCTGTCCACAGCCTCTGCAGCACAGGTTCAATTCCTGGTCAGCCAGGGAGATACCCACATGGCGCAGCAGACCTCTCCTGTCTCACCTACTGCTCCCCTCAGCAGTGTATTTCTGTCGATCCGCCTGCTCTGTTCCCCACTCTGTCTCTGGTGAATCCTCTCACCCTCCCGTGCCTCTGACCTGTACCCCAGCTCTTGTATAAATAAATCTGTAAAAAAAAATTTCAATCACAAACATAATCCTATGTGAACTCATTCTCTTTGAGATAGCTGACATTATTGATAAAGCACTCTAGCTCCAGTCTCTTCTCCAGAAGCTGCCACTGTTTCTGTGGCTTTCAGGATTTTTTTTTTCTGTGCACTTATGTACATGGATATAGGAGCCTGTGATTTTTAAGTTGAACGACAACTATTTAACCTGCTATTTTCCTGCTTATAAAATGACAGGGATAAAGGCAATGATGCCCCAAGAAGAAAGTTTAGAAAGTGGCTGTCATTCATGCTTCTGCTGAGATGACTCATTTCCCACTCAAGCAGGTTTCAGTTCTTCCATCTGAAGGACATTAAACCCACGTCTCAATCATCGACCCTGTGGGGTGAGACCTCCACACCCACACCACCTGCCTTGCCCCGCACCCAGATGGCCCTGCACAGGGAGGGGTGTTGGCCTGCTCTTTTTTTCTTTTTTTTTAAAGATTTGTTTATTTATTTATACAAGCACTGAGTACAGTCAGAAGCGCGGGAGGGTGAGAGAATCCACCAGAGCCAGGGTGGGGAGCAGAACAGGCAGACTGATGAAGTACACTGCTGAGGGGAGCAGCGGGCGGCAGGAGAGGTCTGCGTGCCATGTGGGACCCTTACCAGTGGCCGGGGATCGAACTGGTGCTGCAGAGGCTGCGGGCAACTTCACAGCCCAGCGCTCAACCGCTGTGCCACCGGGGAGGCCCTGGCCTGCTATTTTGAATGGGAGCTCCCAGGAGGGCATCAGGCCTTGGTGCCTTGATTCCTGGGTGAGCGTGGAGGAGAAACCCCACTCTGGGCACTTACGCTGGGGCAGGCGTCCTCCCCCTGCTGCCCCACCAGGATGTACAGCGTGTCGTCCTTCTCCAGGTTGAAGATGCCCAGCACAGACACGCCGTGTGAGCGCATCATGGTGTTCTTCCCGCCTTTCCCGCCAGCCGCGCCGTAGCCCGAGATGCTGCAGAGGGAGAAAGCACAGGGTTTCTGTCACTAGCTGGAGACTGAGCCCCTTCCTGCCAACCCAGCCCATCACCATCGTGCCCCGGATGCTTCTCCCCCGAGGCCGCGAAGAGAATGCTTCTCCCACTGCCAGGAAAGGACAGTCAGCTCTAGAGACAGACCCCACCTGGGTCACAGCTAGGAGGGTGAGCACTAGTAGGAGAGGAATTACTAACACTTCAAGAGAGGGAGAGAGCAGGGGCAAGACAGAGAATGAGGGGAGAGGGGGTGCCTGTGTTAATGAGAGGTTCTGGCGTAATGGGTTCCTAGCCACCTGGGATTTTTCATTGCAGATTTCTCTCCCAGTCCAAGGTGAAAGGATCATGGGACCTTCCATGAGCAACTTAATTTTCCAGTCCCACATCTGTAAAATGGGGATAAGAAATGTGCCTTCTGGATGTGGTACATACACACCATGGAATATTACTCAGCATTCAAAAAAAGATAAACACATGCAATTTGCAGCAACATGGATGGAGCTGGAAGGGATCATGCTCAGCGAAATAAGCCAGAAAGAAAAAGAAAAATACCGGATGGTCTCACTCATAGCAGGAATCTAGAAAACTTAAATAAGGGACCAGGAAAATGAATAACTATAAGAAAGAAAAAAATCAAAATCAACAAACAACTATGAACCACAGACATTCTTTGTGGGGGGCGGGGAAAGGAGAGATTGGGTTAAAAATCAGGGGGTTGCAATTGTATGGGGAATATAAGAATAAAAAAAAAATTAAAAAAAAGAGTCATTAAAAAAAAAAAAAAAGAAACCTGCCTTCTGGCCCATGTGTGTTGTGAGTAGGATTTAAGATGTAGTCTCGGAATTGTGTCTGGCATAAAATCATTATTGATTATAACAATAATATTAATTGTTATGCTCCTCCCACTAATAATTATATAAGAATAATAATGACAATTTTTTATTAGTGGAAGGAGCAGTAATGGACTGGGTACAGACTTCGAGTCTCCCCATGGGGTCCAGACACAAGGAAGCCGCAGACGGGATGGCTGAGGAGGGCTGTAGTGATGAGCACAGGCTGTTCATTTCCTTCCCGCCTGGAACTCCTTCAGGGGCAATAAGCGTGCAGACAACAAGTCATCATGATGAAAAAAAGCGGAGTGAGGGGACATGGGACTATTTCTGCTGCTTCTTGGGTTGTTAAGATGAAGTCAAGCATGGAGAGGGATAAAAAGACCTCGGCTGGCAAACCCCGTCAGCAGGGAGGCGGGTCCTGGAGACAGCTCGTGTGCCGGCGGCGGCACATGCCTCCCGGGAGACCAACTGCCAGGAGGGAAACACGGGGGGCTGTCACATCCCAGTGTGTTCGGATCCAAGGTCCTTAATGAAAAGTGTCCAGAAGAGGTGCTGGGTGGTTCTGCTCATGTGCCGGGCCCCCTGGGGGCTCTCCTGAAGTGCAGAGACAAGCCTGGAGGGCTGGTGGGTTGCGACTGGTGAGGAACTGGGGTCCCCACTGAGTGCACAGAAGGGTCTCCCTTCTTTTGGTGTCTCCATGTTCCACGTGCAAGTCTCACCGTCGAGTAGAGGCATCCAGAGAGAGGGGGCGAGGACACGGTGGGGAGGGAGCACAGTGGCCTATGGTGGAGGACTACAGGTGCTTGGTGGGTACACTATAGCAACAACACCCGAAGTGGGGGACCCTACACTTCTGAAATACAAATGATGTAACCCAAGTATCTCAATATGACCCCACCACCCCCCCACGGATATATAAAAACGTATATGTTGTTTTTGCAAATACCTCCTGTCTATTCCTCCTATTCCTCCACTGATTGTTCAACACAACTCTTCAATTACACAGCGATTGGCCTTTTCATATATTGTATATGTCCAATGGCTCACAAAGACAAAATTATTAAAATTTGATATATTTAGTAGTCAACAAAAGAAGGGTCTCCTGCCTATCGCCCATTGGGGGTCCGGGGCTGGCCAGAACTCACTGCAAGTTGTCATGAGGCTGTGGACATCAGCAGAGGCTGAGAAGGCCTCCGGGTCCCTGAGGGAATTACAAAGAAATTGGGGAGTCACATACGAGAAGGGAAACCTCACCATGAGAGTGGCCTGATTGGAGAGTTAGGGGGGACAGAGGGCTCTGGGGTTCCACAACACAGCGGACCATTTCGTAGCTGTGTGTCCCTGAGTCCCAGCTTTGTCCCTGGTCAAAAAGAAACCGTATGTTCTTTTCTGAACTCACAGGTAGCGAGGAGGTTCAACATCATCTGGAGAGGATGGGCTAACAACTCTGAGAAAGGGGCTGATCCTGGCACAAAGGCAGGGCTCTCAGGGATGTGGAGGGGGTGTGGAGGGGGCAGATGCCGGTGACAGGCACTGAGTCAGCGGCTCCTGGAGGACGTGGGGTGTGGAGGAAGGCAGTCAGCTTCCTGGTGGGGATGACGGAGGTGGGGTGGCAGTCCAGGCTGTGAGAAAGGAGGCGGGAGGGCCTGTCGTGTGTCTGACAACAGAGAGGCCTGGTTTCAGGGCAGCCTGCAATATGCCAGGCACCTCATTTGACAGAGGAGGAAACTGAGGCTCAGGAGGATTAAGTGACTCATTTGAGCTCACACAACTGACGAGTGGCAGATCATGGTCCAAACCCCCACACTTCCCCATGGAGAGGCCCCTTTTCCTCTAACATGCTGCTGGGAGGCACACATGGGTGCACAGCAAGGGTGGGCTGAGAAGCATTGGTCCGTCCCAATGTCCTCACATGCTCACCTGAGACTTCACTCCTGACCCATCAGAAGGGAGACGGTGATAAAGACAGTGGAAGGCTAATAAGTGGGCTCCCTGGGGAAAGGGAAGCACGCAGGATTATATAGTTCAGCGAGGGAAGCCTGGGCAAAGGGTGGTGTGGTGTGGGTGCCAGAGACTGTGTAAGTCCAGAGAGCAATGTGGCCGGCCCACCTTGGCCCTGCTCATCGCTCCAGGTTGTGGGGGCTTTGTCAGGTTGCACAAGAAAGGCATTTCAACCTGAAGGTGTGGTTTGCTCGGAAAACTGCTGCCTGAGACACAGTCCTGGTCCTGCCCATTCTTGCTTATAGCCCAAAGGTAAGCTGTGCCCTTTCTATTCCCTTCGGCATCATTTGCACAGTGATTTGCATCGATCTGCATGCATTATGAACCACTCTGAACTCATTCACATGTTTAAATTTAGCCAAATTATTAGGTTTTAGAAGTTGTTCTGGACCTACTTTTTCCTCCCCAAGCTTTCTTTCCTATTTCTCCTGCCCCCACCCAAATCCCAACACCAGCCCCCATAGGTCTCTACCTAGTTTTAGGTGGTGAGGAGGGAGGGTGGTGAGTTCTGAGTCAGATGGTGGTCGTGCTGATGCCTGTCTTGGTTGGGGCAACTTGGTTAACGTCTGGGAAGCTCAGTTTCCCCTCTCCCCCAAAAACTGAGGACAAGGAACCCCTACCTACATGGGGCTAAGTAGTGCATTTGAAAAGGCTACAAACAGATGCCAAAGGCAAGGCAGAATTCTGGGGGGGAGGGGGCAGGGGTCAGCTCCACAGATTTCAGACAACAGACCTCGGGAGTCTGGTGTCAGCCACTGATTTTAACTTCCTGTGTAACAGCCTCAGCTGGATAAGCGACTGGCTCAAATTAATGGGATTGTAGGCCCTACACTAATTTGCAGAGGTCCTGGGAAGTGGTGGCTCCCCTGGCAGCCCTCTGAGCTCTGTAATTCCACCATTAGAGCTTCATTCCTTTGGAAGCTCTTAGTTGCTACTCTAAGGCTTATCTCTTCTGGAGCAGGATGCGCCACTATACAAAAAGCAAGGGTTTGAACGAAGACAGGCCTAGATTCCAAACCAAGCTCTGTTGATCAGGGCAAGGAATTGGGGGAGACAAAAGACGCACCAACTTCTCAGACCCCAGACTGGATTGACCTGGAGAGCCCGCACCTGCTAAAATTTTGTGTTTGAAGCCCCTGCTATTGCCTCTTCAGGTCTTGGCCCTGCCAGACTCACTCTTTAGCTGTGTGAGGTTAGCAGGCGGCTAGGTTACTTATCCTCTCTGAGCTCTCATTTCCTCATTGATAAAGTAGTCACCTTGAAAGACAATTGTGAGGATGAAATGAGAAACGCCTACATGGGACCTAATTCAGTGCTGAGAGGGCAGACGGTGAACAGCACATGTCCTTGCCATCCTGAGGGCTGCCCGCTCCTCTGCCAGGGGGACTTCTGGGAAAGAGACGTGGTGAGTGAATAACCTGATTTCTCCAGGAGAGCAGGGCAATAGCTGGAGCTGGGCATGGTGGAGAGGCCGGGTCAAGGCTGTTCAGTTTCAGCCAGGGCCCCCTCTTCAGGGACCCTGGGGGAGCACAGGCTCACCCCGCCCTCCCGAGGGCCCTCCCACCATGGGAATCACGCCACACAGAATAACAAGCTCAGCCTGACTCTGGACGCTTTCTTCCCATCCCTTGTAAACAATTTATTTTTGATGGTTGACAAACGATGACAAATTAATATACCTGCCACTCAAGTGGGGAAAACGACTCACAGTGATTCCAATTTACTGGAAATTACAAGATAGTGTTCTCAACGAGCTGATGTTGTAATTTTTTTTTTTTGTTTTTCCTCGTCTCGATCCATGTCCCCTGGTCAGAATGAGTGTTTATTGGGTTTGCGTTTTGTATTATTGACTGTGAGCTATTGTTACCTGATGTAATTGAGTTGTGAATCTTTTTTAAATAAAGAATTAGCAGCAAATCAAAGTGGCTGCCTGCAGGATCCTGAAATGAGAGCACAGCTGGTGTGCAGGACAAGGTGGTGCCAGTGCCACCCCGGAGGCAAAGAGGGGACAGGGTCAGAGGGAGGGACCCCTCCAGCCCCACATTCTGGACTCTGCCTCTAGGATCCTGGGACCTTGGGTGAGCCCCTTTCCTGCCCTGAGTCTTGGGTTCCTCTTTGTGTTCAGGATGGCGAGACAGATTGTGAGA